CTTTCCCACAGGTTTTCATGAGGATAATGAAAAGTTTAACCTTTCAAATAACAGTCTTTTGAAAAAACGTGCAGTGATAGAGCAATACAATATATCCACGACGTGAAAGGAGGCAGTTCTAGGGTAACTATTGCCTTTAGCTAGCGGTAACAAATCACAAGCCCTTTAAAAAGAAGCCCAATCTATTAAAAGTACTGTTGTGCTAGGGGGGCAGAGACGAAGGTAATGTAAAAAATCTAGGTCTTTCTACCGCAGAAACAGTAACACCTCTTGAAATCTGAGTATCCCCAAACCCTTTGATTTAAAAGGGAGCTGGAGAAGTTTAACCCTTTGCAGAACTTGCGCAGGAATTTTCGTTCTTGGATCCAGGATAAGACATATACCCAATGGCCTCAAAGAGTTCCTAGCCAGGATAAAGTCTCCAGATTGGGATTTTTAATTTTAAGAATCAAATTGTGTAAGCAATTTTGGCTGCAGATTTGTTCCTTGCAAGACTTTTAGTAGGACTACTGACTATTTTTCAAGTTCACCTGAACAATCACCATCTATAACAAGATCCTGCCAGATAATATTTATTCCTTTCTCCCAGCTGGATGAGGAAGTATTTTATCCTGACACAGGCATGTGTTTAGGCTCTATTATCTCCTGCCCTTGGGGCTAAAAACTGTAGCCCAAAAGGTATATACTCTCAGTTTTTCAGTTGAATTGCAGTAATTTGTTTGCAAACTTATCCAGTGAGTTCAAAGATGTAATATCATGCTTGTTACAAAACTGGCAACTGTCCTCAATTTAATGACATCTTTCCATTGATTTCAATGGCTTTTGGATCAGGCCCTAACAATGCAGGGTGTGTGGATTGTTATTTCTTTATTCACCTGGAACAGCGAAGTATGATTATAATGTTCTGCGAGTGCCTTACTGAGGAAGGAGGCATAATAAAACACTGCATGTGATTAATTAAAGAAAATCTTTGTCCTGTTTCAATAGGAATCTGAGACTTTATATCTAAAGCATATAGAACTACAAGGGGGAATGGCTGTAAACTAAAAGAGGGCAGATTTAGACTAGACATTAGGAAGAAATTCTTCACCATGAGGGTGGTGAGGCCCTGGCACAGGTTGCCCAGAGAAGCTGTGGATGCCCCCTCCCTGGCAGTGTTCAAGACCAGGTTGGATGGAATTCTGAGCAACCTGGTCGAGTGGACGATGTCCCTGCTCATGGCAGGGGAGTTGGAACCAGATGGTCTTTAAGGTCCTTTGCAACCCAAACCATTCTATGATTCTATGATTCTGTTCAGGTGTTAAGGCTGGAAGAACTCCTGACCTATAGCTGCAGAAATCACAGAATCACATAATGGTAGGGGTTGGAAGGGGTCTCTGTGGACCACCTAGTGCAACCCTCTTGTCAAAGCAGGTTAAACGCAGGACTTTTTGACTTGCAATGAGATGTACTGATACTCAGATGAAAAGATCTGACCTTTTTTCCAGCTGGGTGTTAGTTCATATACATTAGATAAGCACCCACATACTGACTGATCCTCATCAGCGATTGGTCTGCTGCCTTGAATCATACTACCGCTATCAACTCTAATCCTAAATCTTCCTTAATTCCCATTGAAACATATGGTTTATTTATTATTAATTTGGCTATAATTAGAGCAATTACTTATCACCATTGGTAGTGAATTCTTCCATTCCAACCTTATAGGCTTTTGTCAACACTTCTGACATACAAGGAAGCTGAGGCTCATTTTGAGCACTTTCCATTTCCAGATTATCTGTGGGAAGGAGAAGGGCCAGCAAGCAACGTGCAGTGCTACTGGGAGGACTGGGGAGGTTGGCTGCATTGTACCTAAGGGCTGTTAGAGCAAAGCCTGGGAGCCTAGGATGCTAAGTGCCAGTTAGAGCAATCCTCCTGTTTCCTCTATAAATATGTAAATTGCTTGACTACATCGTATCTCACAGAGGCCAGCAAGAAGAGAGTCTAAAATTTAGGCCCTGCTGAAAAACAGAGGCAGGGCAGGAGCTCACAACAGTAGCAAGATTAAGCTCGGTATGGCCATTACTTTGCAGCAGGTTACGCAACAACTTTTTACACGCAGCTTTTATAGCCATCCCTGTTAAAGACTGCGTTCTTCCTGCCTCCAGCTCTCCAGGCACGCTGTTTGGTAAGAATAACTTTTTTTGTTTTTTCCTAATGACAGTTACATATAGCATCCAACAGGTATGTGGATAACTAAGCTTACATAAGGTTTTAAAAAATGTAATGTCATTTATGTATAAAGTCAGCACAAATTTCAGAGTCTCCAAGGCTTCTCTCAGTCATGCTTTGAAGAGTTCTGCATTGTGATTTAGGAGCTTATCTGTTGAAAAACACTGATTTAAGATCAATACACTTAAATAGATTCTGACACTCTCTTTTCAAACCAGCTAGAGTCTGCCTGTACATGGGTCCACTGACCCCCTGGGGAGTGAAAGAGTCCTCCACGCAAATAGAACCAGCAGAATCGCCACCCAAACCTGGCAAACAAGCTGGGTGAAGGGAATCGGTAAGGAAGGGGGAGGAGAAAGGATGCTGATCAAACAAGGAAACACCTTCCGGCTCGTCTGACAGAGCACAGGAACTTTTCAATCAGGGTGAGAGGGGAGGAAAAGAAGCTTGAGAGCTGGGCATCACTGGAAGGAAGCGAGGAGAAAGAAGTGGGACGTGAAGCAGTCGGGGTGCATCGGGCAGCCTGGGGGTAGCCAAGCCTTGGCAGAAGTCTCGAGTTTCGCTCTCAAGCAGAAGAAAAGAACAACAGCAACGCTTAGTGACAGGATGGGGAAGGGCAGTTAAGGGGAAGGGACGGCACAAGAGCAAACAAGTCTCACTCTGAAGAAAAACAAATCGGGAACTCCAAGTGAAGTCTGTGCTCTCCATCCACCTCTGCACCTGCCGCACTGGAGGCTTCCGTCGTGCAACACGCTGGCAGGCGGGAAAGGTTGGAAGCTGCTCAGGGGACGAACGGAATGAGGAATTCAAGACAGCTTAAATTAATCTAGCTATTGATACCCGTAAATGTAAAATTTCCACTTACTAGAGTAATTGTAATTAAACTAAATTCTTGCTGTTTTGAGAAGACAGGACAGCGCTAAGATAAAGAGGCTCCTAAATAATGCTACTTAGACAAACCTGACTTGCTGTTTTGGGGGGGATAGGAAAGCTCTAAGATAGAGAGACTCCTAAATAACGTCATTTGGACAGCTCGGCCGTGGGAGGGCAGATGCTCCAAGCTACAGAGATAAAGAGGCACCAAGCAGGCAACAAGGCCAGAGCAAAACGACCTGGAAGGACACGGTATGCGTGATCTTAGAACTGAGTTTGCACAGAAACAAAGCATCACTATTCAGGATTTTTTTTTTTTTCCTTCAGAAGGAAAAGAGAACG